AGCCAAAGGATGTCGAAAAAAATGTCAACAAAATGCATCAAGCTCTAAATTATCAAATAAAAGCTAAAAAATAAAGTTATATTCAGAATGCAGTTTCATCGTTTTTTCTAATTCAATAATCCTCAAATATTGTTCAATGCTTTAAAGTTTGTGACACACAGAAGAAAGAGAATAATTTAACTTTTTATAGTATATTTCATATATAGTGTTGCTATGTCAATAATAAAGCAAGTTTATATTCAAATCATTTTCCACCGGATTTGACAAACACGACAATTCATAATTATTGGTTCGATGAAGCGGACTGAAATGAATTGATCAAAATTGCGTTGCGAAACTACGAGTAAATACGAGTATGCCTTTTCTCGCACACTTGTGTGGGCGTGTTGTGGTTTTATCGTGTAGCATGCAACGCGTGTCATATTGCAACAATAACAATCTGCATTAGCATTATCCAGAACAGGCAAAAAACAATACAAAAAACAACAAGGACCATTCGTGTTCCTGGTAAATAATAACTGTAAATCTATCTGACCCACAATATGTCATTTTGTTTCGGAATCCAATTGTCGCATATTTTCAAAGTAACGCTTTAAGCTCTTAGGGTCGAATGGTCCGTATTGATTTCGGGACAATCAAAATGTACTATTTGAAACAAAATCAATTTTTACATTTGTTATGACAACAAAGCGTTAATATAATTTATTATTTATACAATATATTTACCAATTCACTTAAAAATTGTTTATAATATGTGTCGTATATTAAAACTAGTTGTATCAGCAATGTAGTTGTATCAAATATAGTCCAATTATCGATCATATTTCCAATGATGCTTACATAATTCATAAAATATTTATGATAACCTCTACGACCTGGTCGTTTGTAAATAATAAAATTGTCCAACTTCAACACATAATAAACCTATTAAAAATGTTATTTAAAATACAAAAACGTCTTCATCCTTTAATCTATCAACAACTAACTGGGAGACCTTTTCGGATTTATTTTTGTATCCTTAACCCATTAAATATTGTTAAAAGGGTATAATTAATTTGTGTAAATTTATGTAACCGCCAAAAGGTAGCATCTCCGAGCACACGGATCTCAGATCTCATACTTTGGCACACAACCTTTATACGCTCTTTAGCAATTTTTAGCAGGTTGCTGCACTGGCTAAATAGCCTCCAGTAACAAATTTGCGGCATAGTTTTAGGAGCACACAAAGCACATACACAAATAATATAAAATTGCACATATCTCGGTCATATCCCTGCATATATTTTAAAGAGATGGTGATTAATATCGCAAGGACAACCTATTTAATTTAAGTACAACTGAAAGGTGATCCGAAGAGCAAATTTAGAACACAACGACGTTGTTTAAGTATCGAAAATAGACTTCTGCTGAATTGCTTCGGCAGGTTTATTGAAAACTTCTAAATTTTCGTACAGCTTTATACAATTAGTCTTATCCTACTTAGGACATTGCCTAGGCACATATTTACTGCTGCAAATGCGTCTAGACTCTTTATCCTATCAGTTCGGAGAACTCTTATCCGGAAGTTTTATTACGGATATTGAACATCCTTGTAAGGATGGTTATATATATAGATATTTATACTTTTTTTTATATCATGGAATGGACTTATTTAACAATTGAAATAATTAATTATACTAATAGAAGATTATATACAAACTATATCGATCTGCATTCAAAGATTGTGGAGTTATCCAAGAGACCAAACTGAAAATATATCCCTTTTAAAACGGATATCCCATGTGTAAAAAGGATAGATTAATGCTTTCAATTTTATTATGCATTCGTCAAGGCTTTATATCTAGATATCACATGTAAAGCAAAACATTTGCATTTTGTCTGATTCAGTAACACATAGCTTCCATGGCGGGAGTCCCTCGTCAGCGCTGCCAAATCCCCAGGAGACAGTTTGATTTGGAGTGTGATTTACCCTTTGCATAGCCAAAATCTCATTAAAGCATTTGCAGCCATATCAACCTGACCTGGAAGGACTTGCCTGACCAAATTTCATTTTCGAATTTGACTTATGGCCCTGAAAAAAACAAGTTGAGAATCGTTTTAGATACATTCAATAAATGATGAATGTCAAAGAATATCTTACGAGAATGCAGAAGCGTGAATGCTTAAGCAAAAGCAAAAGCAGTCTAAAGTCGTATAAATACGTGTTAAAGCTTAAGCAAAAACTTAAGTGGAGTTAAACTAAAGTAACTCATTAAGAATTGACTTTAGCTTAAGTACAGATATGCCTTTAACTAAACATATCCAATCCAGAATAGTTAGCTGCAACTGTACTTAAGTTGTGATTCAGCCCATATACATATCCAATTACTTATCAAGTGCTCATGTTACCTTAGAGATCTAATAATTTGTATCTTATTGAGTATTAGAAGGAATTAAGATATCTCACTAAGTACCGTGGTTATTAAGTAAGTTTTAAGTCTTAAAGTTGTCCAATTGCTTTCAATCTATTTACTTATTCAGTATTTAATTTTAAGTATGCACAGAAGATGCCATTAAATAATCAGTGTCCACAAAACTGGCTGAGAGTAAACTTAAAGACTTGGAATTTTAATTTCCCTCAGGAGTACCACACTTCCATTATAATGTTTTGGTAAATACTTACTTTATGAGATAAGGAATAATTGAAATATATATATATATATATATATATATATATGTGTATAAATATATTTATTTATTAAGATTGTGCGACCTGCGCAATTTTTACTTCAATTATATTTACATTTTCAAAATATTTTGGGCCGCATTCATTTTTGTTACTTCTAGGCAACCGCTTTCAATGAATTTCCTTTTGGGATTTGCGTTTATTTTCTTTAAATGTATTTTGGCTACCTATATGCTCAGATTTCCGTTGGGATGGTCTGTCGCACACCAATTTCCTATATTTAGCATTCCCATGAAATTTGCATGTTTATTTGCGGGCGAGTCCATTGAACCATGGCCATGGTCCAGAGTGCCATTGCGGTAATGCCGGCCAAGCTAAATTTAATTTTGTTATTTTGCTAATGAGCTTGGCTTGTTTAACAATTTTGCCCACGCCCGGCTAATGGGTTGCCCCGCTCCAGCACAACACATACAAAGTTACTCATCCTCCGACTTAGAAATATAAACAGTGCAAACTTAAGCGGCTCATTTACATACAGCACCAAAATTCAGAGTTCTGAACTCGTCCCCGTTCCCATCTGCGCACCATCCAACTTCGTTTGCTTATGGGTACTTTCATGAGTGTGTGTGTATGTGTGTGCGTGTGTGTATTATATTTACGTTATATCTGCATGTGAGTAGATGCAAATTGAGTGGGAATATGGGAAGTTCATTTTGCTGGAGCACCTAATTTTTTTGTTTTTATATTTATCTTTACGTTAGTCAACAGAGAGGTATCTACGCGACTCAGCTTTAGCTGTCAGCCCGCTCATAATCAGCAGTCTGTGGCAAAGTGCAGATATATTCATATTGTTGGTAATTCAATTGCCGCTTTGATAAGTTGGGCATAGCTGTCCAGGTAAGGCAGGAGCGCGTAAGTTCATTAAGCTGTCGCTCGGTAGGGATGTGGCCAGCATGCGGTTGGCATGTAAATTAAGTTAACTCGGGCGAAATGTTAGCGATGGTAATATTATTATTATCATTAACGTTGGCGTGGACCAAATGGATCACATTGGTTATGCCGAGGGCCGACAAACAAATTCGGTACCTCTACCACAACCATCGCCGAAGCCGGCATAAAATTTGCATTTAAATGATGAAGCGCACCACGAATTTCCTCTACTCTTGACCGATAGTAGATGCAACCTTTCATGACAAAATTGGTTGTATATTTAATAGGTATGCTCATGAAAAAAAAAATCGAATCGCCTTTCAGCTGCTGTTCCAGTACCAAAAAAATAAACCAAAAACTAGCTTTTTGCTAAAGTTTCAGGAAATTTAATCATTACACTTTGGCTGACTTAGTTATTTCCTATGGTGGTGCAAGCCATGGAGGTTGGGAGTGTCACTGCACTCCGGAAAAAGGCGAGCTGAATTTATTAATTACGAAATTAATTATTCTGAACCTATACACTCATAGCTCGCTATACGGCCGCTCTTTATACGGCATTTCTCTGTAACGGCCCTCTTCAATTAAGGCACGCTTTCGATTTATGGCCTAAATCGTTTCGCTATAACGGCAAAGAAAAAACTTTTTCTTCTTTGTCTTCAGATTGAAGCCATTTAAAACAAAATTATCTATGTATACATACATATATTTTATGTAACATGAAGTTGTTTCATTTTTGTTTATAGATTATTATTAGTTTTTTGACGCTGTTATTATGTTACGTGCAAGTGTACGTACTTGTTATGTATGTATTTGTTATTCAAATGAATAATAAACAATGTTAAATTTTCTGAACAAATTTCGAACCGATCCCATTGTATTTGTATGAATTTGTATTAGAATAATTGATTGTTTATACGGCTTTCCGTTTTGCGGCCAAGTTTCGTGGAACATATCTAGGCCGTAAAGCGAGGTATGAGTGTATTTCTAAAAACAATGGCAAAAATTTAGAATATTTACATTTATTTATTTTATTATAAAATATTAGTATTTTAAGATTTCACTCATACAAACATTTTATGATGTTTATAAATTGATACAGTCTAATTTGAAAAAAAAAGATCTTTAAACGATTCGGACCCGAATCACTGAGCAACAAAATTTCATTACTATTTTTTAAATATCAAAAAGGATTGTTTCTCACAATAACAATTTGCATTTCTGCTTTTTAGAAATATTAAGAAGTACATTTCTGAAGCAAAGAAACAAAGCCTTTCGTATTTTTAGAAATGTTTTTCGAATATTTAGTCATTATTGATAATATCTAGAAAATGCTTATAGTTTTCAGGACTGTTTTTTCTGAGTGTACCAATTTAATGAACTTAAATAAATTGTTATAATTTTACAGCCGCTTCGGTGGCCGTCTCCTCTTGGACACTGGTCGCCATATCCTGTGAACGTTACTATGCCATTTGTCACCCGCTGAGATCTCGCACCTGGCAGACGATCAACCATGCCAATAAGATCATCGCTTTCATCTGGCTAGGCAGTCTGGTCTGCATGACGCCAATTGCGTATTTTAGTCAGCTAATGCCGACCAGTCGTCAAGGTGCGTGCCATCAAGCCAATTTCAACTATATACTATATACTACAATACCAATTTGATTTGCAGGGCTGCGCAAGTGCCGGGAACAGTGGCCAGCCGGCTCACTGGCTTATGAGCGTGCGTATAACATATTTTTGGACCTGGCGCTTCTGGTGCTGCCGCTGCTGGCGCTCAGCTTTGCCTATATGTTTATTACTCGCACTCTCTATGTGAGCATGCGGAATGAGCGCGCCATGAATTTTGGCAGCAGTGGTCCGGATGACGTCTTGCCTGCCGCAAACAGCAGCAGCAGCACCAGCAACAACATCGGATGCAGTGGATTCCGTCGCCCGAATCAGTCAAAGCGCCTAAAGATGCGCCAGGAGGCATCGAGTATCGATGCTGCCACTCAGCTAGATATGCAGCAACAATTTGGGGCACCGCAATACTATTACGGTAAGTAAATCAAGAACTGCGGCAATTGAGTGCACGGTTTGTTTTTTAGGTTCATTACGGTTGTTCCATGCACAATTTGGTTTTCTTACTTCAAAAAAGGAAATTAGTTCAATATGTAAACTCGGCTAAAGAAAATTTCTCAGCTTTGTGCCAATTTTGTGCTAGCAACCGTTACTGAAGAATTCCACATCTTTTTGTCCTTCCGCTTCGCTGCGGCGCACTCACAATTTGCATGCCAAAGTCATCCACGCGCAAAATGTGCTTCAGTTCAGCGTTCTACTTTTTTCCGCCGTTCAATCGGTCCGTCGAGTTGTCGCTCTGACGCTCTGTTGTAGTGGTGGCTCCACTGAGATGCGAATATCCATGCAATATCCACGTTACTCATACGCCGCATTAGACAGTCGTTTTTTGGCACATGGACTATAAATTGCTGCATGCGAAAGGCGCCGAGGTTCGATTCAATCTGATTTCACAGCATTGATAACTTCAAGTGAGCCACTTAAATAGCCCTTCATTTGCATTCGTGAACATTTTGAACAACTTTAAGTCGCTTTAGCTGTACAATTTACTTTAACTGGAGCACTTTCGGCTTAGTCACTAATGCCAGCCAGCTGGATACTTGAATTTTAGTAGAATGCCAGTGCCATGCCAGTGCTCAACAATTTACCACTTTCCTGCTCTCTCTTTTGGCCAGATCCTATGCGAAGTGCTTGTCTGCGAAGTGTCAATCAATTACGAGCATGGATTACAGATTACTTAAAGATTGCCATGAAAATCATTTCTAGTTGTCAAATAAATATGGTTAGGTTTTAGTTAATGCCTATAAAAAAAATAAAGTTTTTAGATTAAATACACTTTGTGTGCTTGAAGATGCCTAGATATGGCTGTCGTACATATTTGCAGAATTTCATGATACCCTTTCTATGCATTTTAATAGGTGTTTTGTTATACAAAAAGGGAGCACTTTCATTTGGGAACCCTGTCGGAACGAACGCCCGCATTAACATGAAAGCGCCTTAAATAAGTAAACAGTAATTGCATATTAGCATAAACTTTCGTTTATTTCCAGAGCTTTTAAATGCATAGCTCAACGCTAATAATGAATTATCACAGAGTGTCGCCATAAAGGATACTGAGCTCTGGGTGCCCCTTGAGGCTAGCGCTGGACCAGCTGGCAGATGAGTGTCGTTGGCACGCTCTTTCCACATCCGCTTTGCATTACAATGTACTCAAGTATTTGAAATGCTATTCACAACGAAAGGGTCAAATTAAATACCGTAAATTATGCTCGGGTCGAGCATTTAAATACTCATTTGATGCCCTTATCTCGTTTATCGACCAAAGAGTCCCAGCTAAAATTAGTTAGGCCACATCTGTCATGGCAATTGGTGACACGCATGCCACATGCCTTCCATAAATAGCCATACCACATTGCCACAAACATCTAAAAAACAAAAAAAGAAAAAAAAAGCATCTTCAATGCCTGTTGATGATAAATTTTATTAAATTTTAAAACCTATGCAATTTACGGCCGGCACTTAACAATTCTGTGTCATAAATTACTATGCACACCAGCCGCCGGGCCAGGCAGTTAGTCAGTCATTCTTCATTCTTTATTCCAGCCCGACAAGGATAAGGCAAAAATGTTTTATTGCCGAACGCCCAGAATGCTGGCGGTTTGCTGGTAATTTGCATAGCCAAGTTTTATACAATTAGAGCCTTAAACCCATTATGTTTTCTATTATGACTGAGCTCATTAAAGCCCCGTATAGAGCATCAAAATTGTGCCATGACTCGTAAAATGGCACCGATAAAGACTAAATGTTTATTTACTTGGATCCAGAATTCAAACTGTGTCAATAAAAAAGTAATTAGCTTACTTAGCTGCCACTCAAATATTTTTAATTGTCACATCAAAGATGCCCAAAATTCACAAGCCCAGCAACTGTTATATTTTATTTATTTATTTTGGCACAATATTTTCATTAGAGCACTAAGCAATGCATAATACATAATACTGAAAATCAAAATTAGGATTTTGTTTCACTTTATAACATGAATTAATGAAAAATCTTCAAACATAATTAAGGGAAGTACAAAATAATGAGTATTTAATGTGAATTTACACCTATGGTGATTGAAGCAACTGTCGTAGATCTCTACAAGAAATGGCCAAATGATGTCGCCTCATCTGGGCTCCGGATCACAGGAAAATTTAAATTGCGCTGCTGATGAATAAGCCAGGCATGGTGCTACCTCACATCTCCTTCAAGAGAAATGGTGTGGAAATGCATGTCCACTCGCATACTCCTAGTCAGAGAGAAATACGAGCAACAAACAATCAATCTGGCCAAGCTTAGCTGCGTCAACTGCAGTGCAGTGACCCAAGCTATGACCAGACACTGGTTGAAAGGTTGAATCATGCAGCGTCATGGCGAGTTCTGTGGGAGCCGTTGAGAATCAACACTTCTTTTGCTGTTGGCCAGCCCTTGGCGGCACATATATCTATATATATATATTTAACTGCAGCCAATCCACGGGATGGAACATGGTGCCTCCAATGCGATGTATAATGCGGTTGAAGGGACAAGGTAGCACAATAAGTTAAACATGGGTCAAGTGACGGGCTCTCTCATCTGACTAACCTAACCTATCGTAGCTGTGCATTTAAAGTATTTTGAATTTCGTGACAACTATTTAAAATAATACATATGTAGGTCAAAAAATATGAATTAAATTTCGCTAAAGTGCGCCATATTGTAGTCATCAGCAGCAACCAGTTCTACAAAAATGTTAGTGGTTAATACGAGTGGACAGCAGTTGCGAATCTTTACCGTTTGCCTCAATGACTTCCCCTGAGCGAATGGGCAGAGAGTCCTTCGCGTCCACCAGGCGAATGTCGGCAGTCCTTTCGGCGTCGGATGCTTCCGCAGACTGTTCGACAATATTTCGAGCGATTATCAGGCGCTGTTTAAGTTCGAGTCGCTGACCGCGGTCCATGTTCCTCTTCCTGATGAAGTCCATCAGACGGCTGTTATATCTATTGTCGAACACTTGATTTCGGGCTATTTGAACATAATTATCCGAGTCTTGCCTCGTATCTTTTGTGTCACTTTTCTCACTTCTATTAAAATGGTCAAGGAACAGTTTGACGCAAAAAAACGCTGAAGAAAGCATAAGTTTTTCACACAATTCAGCTGAAAAAAGATAGGATCCAGTTTACCCCATATGACAATCAGTAGAAATAGCACGATCTGCAGACAAATGCGCCAGTTACACATTCTTAGTGGTTTTTTTTAATTCGTTTTCTACAGGAACTTTAGGTTAGCCAGCTTTGTTTAAGTTGTAACATCAAGGCCTACTCAGACCGGAATGAATTAAATAATAGCAAGGCATAAGATACTCAGAAATCAGTTTGGCCAAGGCTTCGCAACAGAGATACGTCTCCTCCTCCTCATAATAAAGCTTAAAACTAACTAAAGATTAATGGAAATTGCAGACAAATTAATGGAATGATCAAAATATCGTATTACAAATCGAAGACTATACAATTTATGAATCAATATTTCTTTATACTCTTTTCAATGGAAACCAATTGAACCGTTGAATTGATAAATGCTGCATCGTAATGGTTTCATTTTATTTCACGCGCTGAAATGGAACAAATATTTTGTGTATCACAATCACGAGACCACCACGAATGTCACCATCGCTGCCCCAAAATGAGGCCATTGCTGAGTCCTTGACAGCAAGTCAGGTGTACTAAACAGTCGAGAGCTTCGAGCCTCACTTCTCCTAATTAGAATATTCGAATTGCCTTTCTCACAATATGACTTCTTTCCCTCTGCTCCCTGCCTGCCAGGCCAAGTAGTCAATGGAAACCAACAGTGGAATTATTAGCCACATTATTGGCAGTATTAAATTTGATATATATTCAAACATTAGCGGAACTCCAGCTGTCAAACATATATTGATATTGGTGTGTTGTGCTTCGAATTTGATAAGTTAACGAGTGTGAAATTGTTGCGTTTTACACGCAAATGGAAATACAATAAAGCTATTCAGGAAATTGTCTATTAAATCTGGTATCCGCACATCAACAGCAGCATTATGCATATATTTTTTTAATTATGATTTGGATATGTCTTCTCGATCTCTATCCCGATCTCGAGCAAATAATTAAGAAACTTACGCTGTTATTTTACATTTGAAGCTGTGCAGCAATGCACAAGTGTCATACAAAACAAGCCACAGAGCATAAATTAGTTAATTAAAGCAGTTTAATTGGAGAATATGCAAATATTTGCTCCATTTGGTGTTCCATTAGCAAAAATGCGAGCTATTAGCTGCCGTTTGTTTGCAAATAAATCAATTCTGCACCATCGTTTTTTTGCAAATTGGCAATATCATGCGTAAACACATATGTTTATTTGTGTATGTTTAACGTCTTCATATGTGTGATGGTGAGCAAACAATGGAATGAAAATATATTGTGTTTTATGATATGTGTGCCATGTATACAAAGCAAATAATTGATACGGCTTTATTTGAATTTTCTTTGAATGGGATAATTAAGTATCCATATTTATTTAATGTTTTATAGGTAGAAACATATTAGTTGCATACAGAAATTTGGAATGGGAAAGGACAAAACACTCTAGCCTGAGAAGATAGCTAAGGTTAACAGGCAAATAGACCAATTGAAAATAATGTGTTAAAATTAAAACAAAAAAAACTAAAACAAACACGGCTAAAAAAATAGCAAAACATGATCACAAGTGCAAAAATGTGCAATCTTACGGTCTGGACTGAATTAATATGCTACGGCATCAAAAATCCGATTTGGTTTAAGGTTACAAGTATCGAAACATCGTGTTCAACTAATTTTATAAAGTAATAATCGATTAGTTTAGAAGAAAATGAAGTCCAATTCGGTTTTAACTAAGGTGCATCACATTAAATTTTGCAAAAGAATACATGTCACAAAGTTTAAATTCTGTGGTTTAAACGATATTAATTATTGCTGGCACGATTTAAATAATACTGAGAGATTTTTCCCTACTCGAAGCTGTGGCGATGTTTCACTCATAGCCTGGGCTGCATTCAGTCATCACAATAGGACCCCGATGTGTAAAATTTCAGAATGTCTGAACTTGGAGGATTATATAAACCTATTGGACGAAGTTTTGGTGAACTTGATAGAGCATCAATCAGACCCAAATGCGTTATTCCAACAGGACAATGTTCCAATACATGTGTTGCGGGCCTGTCGTGAGTGGTTTCGGGATGGGGATCTTAAGCTTTTAGAGTGGCCAGCAAGATCACCCGACCTGAATCCCATAGAGAACATGTGGGGAAACTTGCACCGTCAAATTTATTCTGCTAATCGACAGTTTGAGACAGTTGAGCTGTTACGAAAGGATGTCGTTGAGGAATGGTCACAAATCCCACTACCTGGCTTCAAACAAGTTGTTGAATCGATGACAAATGTTACCAATTTAATATGTTTTTTATTTGACATGTATTTAGAATAGCTGACAATTGTGGAATAAGTAAAAGTGGATACATGTATATATGTATATATATATATATATATATATATATATGTATATATATACAGTGTCTCGCAGCTTATTTCGGCAGTGTCTAGCAAAAATTTTAATTGCCTGCCATAAACTAATAATACAATATTTTTCAAAAATTCCAAAGACCTATGGCAGGTACATATATTAACCACCATAATGACTATATGACCCCCATAAACTGGGGTTTTCCCGCCGGCTGGGCCGGGTTATGTAAAAAAGTAGCTTAATTTATGGTCACAGCTTATTTTCAACAGTGACATTATGGACACCTGGGTGCCATAAAACCCGGATTTTTTACGTAATGTTGATTATTTTCGGTATAAATAGACCAATCCTTCATAGTCAGTTTAGTTATATCCTGCATCTCGGGTGCAATCAGTCAACAAGGACTATGGGCAAACGGACTACCATTGAACAACGGAAACTGATCCTGGAACACTTCAGGATTGGATATTCATATCGCCAAATAGCTAAAATGGTCAATTTAAACAGGTCAACTGTATACAGCATCATTCGTCGATTCGTCGACGAAAATCGGATAGAGGACAAGGGCAGAAATGCACCAAACAAGATTTTCACCGAACAGGAGGAGCGGAGGATCATCAGGAAAATAAGGGAAAATGGCAAGCTATCGGCTCCAAAACTGACTCCATAGATGGAGGACGAAATGGGGCAAAAGTGCAGTGTGGAAACTGTGCTCCGGGTTCTGCGCAAACATGACTTTAATGCCCGAGTACCACGGAAGAAGCCCTTTATAAGCGCAAAAAATAAAGGGACTAGGATGGCATTCGTCAAAACCCACTTGGACAAGGATTTGGAGTTCTGGAACACATTCATATTTGAAGATGAGCCCAAATTAAACATTTTTGGCTCAGACGGACAAAATTATGTGTGGCGACAGTCCAATACTGAGCTGAGTCCCAAAATCCTAAAGGCAACAGTCAAGCACGACGGAGGAAGTTTCATGGTATGGGCATCTATCTCGGAAGCCGGCGTCGGAAATTTGGTGTTTTTTGAAACAACAATGGACAAGAGTGTGTATTTCACTATATTAAAGGAAAATTTACTCCAAAGTGCCGAGAAGCTAGAAATCCGACGTACTTTCCAGATCTACCACGACAACGACCAGGACAACAGCCAAGCATAAGTCCGGATTAGTGCAGTCCTGGCATATCTGGAACTGCCCCCACAAGATAATTCCACTGGCCCAGTCTCCAGACTTAAATGTTATTTAAAATTTGTGGGCTCTGCTGGAAAATACCATCCGGAATCACAGATCCGATCTCAAGAATGCTCTGCTGGATGAGTGGAGCAAAATCAGTCCAGAAACGACCCGGAAGCTGGTATCTTCCATGAACAATAGGTTAAGGGGAGTTATTAAGGCTAAAGGATATCATACTAAGTATTAACATCCTTATTTAAGTTTTTATACGCCAAATATGTTACTTTTCTCTAGACTGTTGAAATAAGCTTTGACCTGTATTTTGGATAAGTTTTCAGTTTTTGACTAATTTTAGTTAATTAATTAATATTTTAATGAAAACTGAAGTTTCCTTTTCAAACGTGATATAACATAAAACAAATTGACATTTAAACATTTTGCGTTTGTTTCTTTGTTTAAACTTTATAGCACTTTAAAATTTTTGCTAGACACTGCCGAAATAAGCTGCGAGACACTGTATGTATATAAATATAGATTTATAATTATATGATGTTATTAGAAGCTGATGTTGATCAGCTAAAAGCATTGATACTATTGACAATTGCATACTTTGTTGTTGCTTCAACTTCAATATCAATTGATGTTTTAAATTGTAACTCGAATTGCAATTATGATTTTTGTTCGTGCATTCTCTTGCAGCAGATGGATACAGTCATGGCGGCAGCAAGCGTCGCTTGTTTGGCTCAAACAATGGGCGACAGCATCTTTACTGCATGCGCAGTGCTTCGGTTAAGTCGGTGCGACATCAACAAAAACAACAATATCAAAATCAGCAGCAACTCAACGGATCCGACGACTGTTGTGTCCGCTTGCAGCGTTTGCGGCACCAACACCAGCAGCAGCATCTGTGCATGAGCATGACCAATGGGCAGGGGGAGCGACGCAAATCGCTATCCACGCCCAGTTTGCGTATCACAGAGGCGACACTGCGCAGGTAAGTCTAAGGCTTGCCACCTATTTAATTGCAGCATATGCAATATAATGTTGCAACTTTTGATTGGTCAGATCCAACGATACTAAGAGCTTGGAGAGCAAGAAGCGGGTGGTAAAGATGCTGTTTGTGCTGGTGCTGGAGTTCTTCATTTGCTGGACACCGCTGTATGTCATCAATACGCTGACTATGCTGATTGGACCAGCGGTGTACGAGTATGTGGATTATACGGCCATCAGTTTCTTGCAGCTGCTCGCCTACTCCTCGAGCTGCTGCAATCCCATAACCTATTGCTTCATGAACGCGAACTTCCGACGGGCCTTCGTGGACACCTTTAAGGGCATGCGATTGTGGGATGGTGGACGTTTGCGGTTTTGTCGACGTCGCTCCCAGAATGAGACGAATCTATCTGTGGCTGGCAATTCGATTGCTTTGGCCAATTCGGCCATGTCCAGCCATACCATATTGGAGAGTCCGCGCCTCTGAGCCAGCCGGCATCAGCAACAAAAGTCGCGGTCATTGCAGCGGAGGGACAAGGACAGGGATAAGGATAGGGATAGGGGTAGGGAGAGAGTCGAGAAGAAAGCAATGAATGCCGTTCAAATGGAAACAGAGTCGCTGTAGACGCATTTCGAATACAAGTATGTGATGTGCAAGAAACTGAATCTGTGGTTGTCAACGATTCTACTACAAGTAAGGGAATTGTGTTGGGTATGGATAAAATATATACATATAAATAATACATGGGTTTATATTGCATTAGTGAAGCTACCTATTAACTGTATTGCTAAAATACATTTTTTTTTTCACTTCAGAATAGTTGTATTGCATTTGATATTGAAAATCTAATTGTTAAATATAAGTAACTCATTAGACTTATCCTCGCCTGCATTTCACAGGCTGCGTTTCAATGTTTGTACAAAAACAGATGTAATTTTATATTTATATATATAGTCTATTATTAAATGTGCAAGCAATCAAGTATAAAATTACAAAAAAAAATATGTATTTAAGCGTAATTAAAGTAAGTAAAGAGAATGTATGGGAAAAGAACAGAAAAACTCTTCTACAAAACCCATTGAAATATAACTAAGCAATGCATTTTGAGAGCTGAAAATCGCAAAAAAAAATGTTAAACATTCAACTACCAGTATGGTATACTATATAAACACTAAGAATTACGAGTAAATATAAATATTAATGTTGCTAAATCGAGTTTTTATTACCAGTACTACGAATTATTAATGTATTTTAATTGTGTCAGACAACAAGCAAGACTAGAAGAGAGAACTAACTTTGCAATTACGTGAATTAAATACGATGCCTACGTCATAGACCAGGCAATAATATACCTTAAAAATAATTGTGACTGTTTTACAATATACAATATACCCCTGATTTAACATTAAAAAAAAGTCCAAGCATCGACGTGTTTGAAACCGCCCGTTAATATCATTGTCAGCTGTCAGTTTGCCACATCTTGATATGATTATCACATTGCGAATGCAGCTTAAGTAAGAATAAATAAATAATGTTGAGCTTCACAAACTGGTCCAAGTTATAGCTTGTCCAATTCATGAGTCTTTTAAGTGTGACAAAAACTTTATATACATATTTGTATTGTCTAATACAATGAATTTTAAACTAATACAAAAAGCAAAAACAGCAACAGAAATATGTAGATGAGTTCGTGTTTAGGAATTATAAATATAAATGTATCTACTTTCAAATTATTTATGTGTGAAAAATACATACACATGCTTAAGCAGTGGGTATATACAGCAATATAAATAATGTGTATGTGTTAAATGAAATTTGAATATTTTTCCCTCCTGTCAACTTCAAAGAACTTAATAAATTCAAATAATGCAGCACATATAATAGCGATAAATGTTTTAATGTTATTTGCAACACAAAATAGACTGGTGAATATTCCTTGGACTCTGCATACTTTTAGGCTCGTCTGAAGCCAAACAGCTGAAGTCGCAACCGAAACACACGTTAATTAATTGACTGCCATCGAGCTGACCAAAAATTAAGCAATCACTGTGGATAACTTGATGAACTCACAAACACAAATACAAACACATAGCAGCATATATGTAGATACATGTGTAGGTGGGCCTGTGTGGGATGCAAATACTATGAACTGATTGCCCATTTCGGGCTAACGAGTAGCGCATTAATTCTACACTTCTCTGCTGTGTTAGCTGTTATGGCAAAGAATAAAATAAAAAAATGCGCTAGCCGCAGCATCTCTCCGATGGCCATTAAGCTGCCAAACGCATTTACACCGCCAGCTGCATAAATTACGGCAAGGATACATTGTTCGGCTAAAGACAGGGACGAGCATTCCGACACTCGCTTAAATACATGAAGCAGACTCGAAGGAGAAATCAATTTCCGCCTGCGCATGGGAAATAAAGTGTGTGCAATTGTTGGAGGCAGTCGTTTGTTAACTGAATGGACGGATTTAATTGCACATTCATTTGCTTGTGTGACAGATTGTTATACATGCAACTGCATTTTGCCTTTTCATTATTATAATTAAGATGGCCATATGTTGCCATATTGATTATTTTGATGAATTCGAATCTGCCAACGAATTCCATGAACTGTAAGGAATAACACAAGTTAAGACTTGCGTCATTATTATTATTTTCTTTTTGTATGAATTATTTAAGCTTGTATTTTATTATTTGCGTACATCCTCGCACATTAAACGATGCATGCAACATAATCTCTTTGAAGATAAAAAAGAATATACATATATATATCTTATTTAATACGCATATTAAATATTTATTCTTTGATGCAAATTTTCTTTACTGTTGATTTGGCACATTTTATATTATGTACGTTCACAAGGTACTTCTGTATAAGTAATATACAGCCATTGCCATTATCTAAAAGTAATTATTTTTTTCATACATGTATACTAATCTTAAAGAGGAGTCAGTCTAACATATTAATATGCAATATAACATTTAGGCATTCAGTAAAAGCTGATTGCTTATTAATGGTAAAAGCCTTGCGCATACTCTGTGAATGCCATTAATAATAACATCTAGTCCATAGATACTGCCTCGTATCATATGAAAAGCAGCTGCTGCTGTGAATCATGGCATATTCCATTAACGCATTCACTGCTCGAATTGTCACAATTGCCTCCGCCGTAGTCCGAGTCTGAGTACATGACATCAGCTGGCCAAGTGTCCTTAGCCGCTGTAGATGTTGGCGGCGTCTACGTGACAATTACCACTGTTATTACACGTAATGAATAAAGCCAGCACCTGCAAACAAACCAAAAAGCAGAGGCAGCAGCAGCAGCAGCAGCAAAAGCAGAAGCAGAAACTGTGACAAAGTATTCGCAGGGTTGGACACGTCAGCAATAGCTGGCAAGGGAACTATCAAGTGCTTTTTGTTTTGTTTGCCTGATAAAACCTTCTTGGAATTGTAATCAGATCACGGCCGACGAGCAACCGGCGACCAACTCAGCTTAACTCAACTCAACTCAACGCACGTATGTAAATGTTTATGCACGAAAGTTGTTGCAAAAGATCATTCCAAGATGTCGAGAGCAGTAACTGAAATCGGGTCCTTGAATAGCATCACTTGGGCAGTTCCTAACTATGGCGTGCAACTAAACATGCTTAATTCCCCACTTATGCAAATGGTCAGGAAGTCGAATGCTGCTATTCTCGAAGATGGCTATTTCAGTTGGCCATGCCAAGCGACCATTTGTTCTGGCCAGCTGCACTAACTTATTTATTTATTTATGAAGGACTTACTGCGTGAGTCTGTTGTGGCAGCACATGCCATACCCAGTGGCATTGTCTTCCCACTCCTGCCCATGCGCCCTGAGCCCTGAGGCATTCTGCTAACGCTCACTCCTTCCCAGCAGGAGCAGCAGCCAAGTTCTGCCCGCTTCACCACATTAATGTTGATGTTTTCTCAGAACTTAAGCATGAAATGGCCATTAATTAAAATGCGTGCAAAACTCATTTCTTTAGTTCCACTTCACGCTTAAGCATATATGTACACGTATGTATATCTATGTGCATACACCCATAACTATAAGCACATGTATGTGTTATATGCCAGCAATTTTACACGTTCGCGGCAACAATAAAAGTAAATACATCCCATATATGTGTACATCCATAGTAAGGTACAAACTACATAAATATGTATATATATGCATATGCATATGTATATGTATATGTACATATGAAATACAGCAAACCAAAATAGAAAACAATCAAAAATAGTAGGTATTCTTCGTTTAAAGTATTGCTCTTAGCCTTTATGTTGCAGCAAATTTACGAAAGTTTGGCAATAAAACAATTAAAATATCCAAGGTCTTCAAGCAATATACGTTTTAAGGAATAGTCATGATTTTCTCATTGTGTATAAAGCTGATCAAAAATATTTTGCATGTACCAATATTATTTTTATTTATTAGTTATGATTAGTTTATTTGTTACAGGTCTTTGTTTTCATAGCCAGGCGCCCAGCGCCCTGCCAAAGATTTTGGTACCTTTGTAGAGATATGGAGATAAAAGTTTTTATAGAGTAGTAAATTCACAAACATACACCACAAATGCTGCGTTAGTTTAGGCAATGGCTATGCTTCTTTTTCTTAGGCTCAAGCTGGTCGAAAATAAATACGCAATTGTGTTAATATTATTTTGATCTTGAATAAAAAAATATAAAATGTTTTTAGGTATGCTATTCCCAGACTTATATTCCAAACTTCAGTTATTTGCTGGTGTTAATATGATTTCTGAGCTACTTTTTTCTCAATGTACATAATTATGAACTGTTTTTTTTTTTTTTTTTTTAAATCTGTTCCTTTTTCAGACATTGACATTATGTGAAAAATACAGTGAAATTGACAGGTTGAATTGAAATCGGTTTATATCGGCGTCCCAAAGGCCAAGTTGTTGGTATGGTTAGAGAATGGTCTCGTTTATATGGAGCTAAATTCAGCTACTTGCTCAGTTACATATGGGATTTGTATTAGGCAGATATGCTTTGGAAGAATAATTCTGTGATGGTAAAAAAAATGTTAGTGAGTCAATATCCGAAAGCTCTTATATAATCCGAAGACCTGTAGACCTAGTTCACTGAAGGTGACTATTGGGAGACGATTACGACATTTAACGCAAAATTATGCGAGCCTTAGCTCAATATACTTTTATTAATTCAGCTTTCAAGTGACAAAAGTGCAGATCAACAACTATAAACAAAAACAAAAAATATATATATATATACACAAATACACTTGCAGTTGCTTGAGTTATTGAAGGCGTTAAGTGAATGCCTAACAGTGTCTGCGCCTGTTGCCCATCAAGTATACGCATAGAGGGCCCGTAAGGCAACGGTATGGGCGACCTTGACCAGCTTTTTTCATATGCTACTTATGTATATTGTGATTTTTTGTTCGTCTTCGATGGCGATTGCGACCGCGACTTGAAGGCGCATTTGCGCAACGGACGCGCCCTTTTTACTCAATTATACAATTGCGGCTGCCGT